TGACATACGTGACATAGGCGTGAAGGGGTCCTGAATTAAACCTTGTAGCACATACCTTATTTTCTTGCTAGGCTAGAGGCAGGAGCTGGGAGGGGGAGCTGAAGGTGAGGACGGAAGAAGATACTCTTCTGTTCTCCTATAATGCTGAGGACAGGAGAACATTTGACATCGGCAGTTCTAGCAACCAATGACTGCAGAAGAGGAGAACCCGTGACATCATTGGTTGCTCGGACGCCAATGAATGAAGAGGACCACGGTCTGGATACAGACCAATCCCTGACATGTGCTGGGCTATGGCTTGCCGGGGGTACACTGGGTTTGGAGGCCAGAGCATCCACTGTCTGTCACCCATAACCGAGTGCAGGTCGGCAATTGGTCCATGACCGGACTGCAGACCAGACAGTGACAGGCAAGGGACCGGATATGGCCCGCAGGCTACAAAATGCCCAGGTCTGGACTAGAGCCCTTCTCTACTCTAACTGCACTCCCTCACAACACCTAACAGCCCAGAGCTCTGTGTTGGAGCTGGCATGCGGCAAGGTATGACTTTTATACTATGCAGCAGCCCTCCACACTTGATATACACCTTCTTAGAGCTATGTTACACACCCAGGAATTCAGCATTACAGTGAACCTTTATCCCCTTTTACTAAAAATTACATCAGCATGCACCTCTGCATGTTGATATGAAAACATCTAACATTCATTAGCTAAACAAACATCTTTTTATTTTACTCAGAATTTCTTTTTTTTCTACTTCCTGGTCCTCATTGAAACAAATAATGTAATATGCCCAAGTGTTGCATCCTGGGAAGGTTACATAAACAGCATTGCTGGGAAATCTCATCTGTAATCTCATGAGATGATCTGTATGGTCACATAGCCTAGTCACGTGTGCCAAAGTTCCAGGGAGTAAAGGGAGATCTAGTAATCTGCCCTTAGTAAACATGGCCACTATCAGAAGACTGGGGAAGAGAAGAGAAATAAGATATGCAAAGAATACAAAGTGAGCATATGTATGTATGTGTTTGTAGATTACCATGACTAAACATTTCTACAGGTGTCTTTGTTATTATTTCAAAGCTATGGGTAACGTTCCCCTTTGAAGGCACAAGGGGCCCCAGCAGTATATGCAGACCTTGCAGCCTCTCCTAAAAGCAACTTCCCATGGACATAACTTCCCTTTTACTCTGCTCTGTAGTGGATTGCAGGAAGATTATACAGACATAGATTTTAGGCAACCTTATCAACGATCAACAGTTTGATTTTTTTTGTTTTAAATGACCTTTTTAAAAAATAGTTCTTCATACATATCTGAACTTGTATGATTGGAGTTGTACTTTAAATCTTCTAGCTGACTTGTGAAGCTAATGCAGTTTTAAAATGACCTAAAAGCTGTTCATTAAATAAGACATTTACATTGTCCCCTATGCCAGATGGAAGAGCCTGCAAACTAAACAGTGAGAAGAGTTGAAATAAGCACAATGTTTAAAAATGTGTTTATTGCCTGAGCTGTATTAAGATGGGAGCCGTTTGAGAGCTGTGAGTCATTGTATAAATCTGTCACATCATGGTGTCGCTGTGACTTGCTACAAGTGAAAGTGAAAGAATCTGCAGCTCCTCGCAGCTTCCTGCTTTTCTGCATATCCGTTCTCAACAAAAATCCCCTGACTTTTGGCTGCTTTTTATCTGTTGGAGCTGTTCTAATACTCACCTAGCTAGTTACTACGAGGAGATGGCTGTTATGAGCAAAATCATGGGGAATCAGTCCATTTAATGACACAAATGTCATCCAATTGCAAGCGCTTTTGGGGCCGAGCAGGGTCCCCTTCATTAACACAGAATTGTGAGCCTGACTAAGAAGTCCCTGCGTGGCCCCTAAAGCGCTTGCAATTGGATGACATTTTCTTGCCATTAAATGAACTGATTTCACTTAACCTTTGGTGTGCTGGTGACATTTTTGAATTTGATGTATACTTCGCGGTGCCATCTGTGGTCATTTCAAGCACCCACTTGGACTTTACTGGTTAAACTGCAAACCGGTAAGGAGTGCAGCAAGACACATTTGTACTTTGAAAATCATGGGGCAAACACGCATGTTTTTCAAGGGTTCCCAATTGCAGAATTCGTCATGCAGAAAAGCTCGTATTTTTTTAAAATGCAAGTGAGATTACACTCATAGAATTTTTCATGTTGAGCATTTTTGCACTCTGGGAAACACAACAAAGCGCTCAGCTGTGAACGGGGAATAATAATGGGATTCTTCATGTGGAATGTTGTTGCATTTCAGGAACCGCACAACAAAGCGCTCAAGTGTGAACGCAGAATAATAATGGGATTCTTCATGTTGAGCATTGTCACAATTTGGGAAACGCATGACAAAATGCTCTGAAGTGAATGAGGCTTACATTGGTAAAACATATTTAAGGCTAAGTGCACACCTAGGTTTTTGCATTTTTTTGCGTGATTTTTTTCCCTTTTTTTTAATGCAGGTTTTTGCTTTTTAAAACGTGCGTTTCTCCATTCATAGCGATGTCTATGGGACCAAAACCATGCTGCACCTGCTTCATAATAGCTCCTGCATGTATTTGCGGGAGGGGTGTTTTTCTACGCACGACACAACGCTAAGGTGTGAACAGTTGCCATTGACTTGCATGGAAATGTGTTTTGCGTGTTTTTGCGCGCATCGATCCGTGCTTAAAAAGGCTCAGGTGTGAGCCAGCACCATGTTCACATTTGAGCATCTGCTTTTTAAAGGGATTTTAAAAAATTTTTATGCACATTTGTTCATGCAATATTACACATTTGTCATGTGTTTTTCATCCATTTTTAAATATGCATTTTTGTTTAGTCCAATGAAAAGCAGTATCTTGTGTGACATCATTAGGCGTCATCTTTTTCTGGTGGTGTATTGTACTATCTGAGCTACGCCGGACATTGCTGAATACCTGTTCTAGCCGGGTTCCCATCATGAAAATACCTTAAGTACTTTGTAATGCAGACGTGTCATCTTCAGGGATCGATACCATATCAAACAAAAAGCGGGTTCTACAGACATTAGACATAAGATAATCTTTCACTTTTTGGGTATTCATCTTAGTCTGTGAACACTTCTCCTCCAGTCTCCTCCCAGGCCTCTTTGCCGCTTGTCACTATCATTCTAATGTGGATCAGTGGGGTCCTATAGAAGTTTGTGACCTCCACCAGCTGAATGAACTGCTCCATAACAAGCATGGAAAGTCCTGCTTGCTCTGTCTTTTTCATAGGCCTGAGGTTACTAGAGGGAGGAAACTGGTTGCTGGGCATGTAATGTGCTAAAAGGCATGTTATGCACATTTCCAGGTGCTCCCATTATAGTCAGTTGGGCTAAACGTTTGGTGCATTATAAGCCCCATACACATAATTTCCATCAAACAATTCCCCCTCTGCATACCATCTTGGTGCATTATAAGTCCCATACACTTACTTTCCATGACAGAATGCCCTTTTCCATAGAGTTGTGGTGCATTAAAAACCCTATACATGCACTTTCCATGGCATAATGCCCCTTCTCCATACAAGTTTGGTGTACATTTATGTACCTTCCATGACACAATTCCTGTCTCCATACAAGCTCGGTACATTTTAAGCCCCATACACATACCTATGATGCTCCATACAAGCTTGCATGTGTTATAGCCAGTCACTTTTCTGCCAACTAGTGCTACATGAGTCACTTTGAGGGTATCCATCGATTGGCCATATTAGAGATCCCTACTGTTTACAATATACTAATATTTTGGGGTACTTGTTCATGTTGATGTAATTTTCTAAATATGTTTTCTTTTTTCTACAGATGTGGATAAAATGTTCAAGATGAGCGAGAAGATCCTTCTTTTGTGTGTGGGAGAGGCTGGAGATACCGTGCAATTTGCAGAGTACATTCAGAAGAATGTGCAGTTGTACAAAATGAGAAATGGTGCGTTTTAGGGATTATTTTGCTTGTGATTTCTATGGTTCCAAAGATTTGTTTGTTGACTTTACTGGTTATCCCATAGTTTTTCTAAATGAAACAAGGCTTCCCAGCTCCGAATTCCTTAATCACTTCATTACTAGCGTGCATTTAAGAACAGCGGAGTGCTGGATGTCTATTTCTGCAGTGCCGTTTATAAATGGCGCTGCAGGAATCTTGCACAGGTGGCCACTGCACCATTAATGGCTGTGATCTGAGCTGTCATTGGACGGCTCCAATCAGAGACAATGTACAGAGCTAACCAAAGTGGTTCTTAACCTTGTAATGATGTGATGACTAATCACAGTGACCACAAATGTAAACACTATAAGGCCCTCCCCTTCCTCTTATAATGTAGGAAGTGAGTATTAATAAAGGAAAATGTGTTAATGAAGGTACTAGCGACAACAGATGATTCATGGTGAGGGGTTGTAATTGATTTTTTGTTATCCACTTTATCTCTTTCCTCTCCTATACATTCATCATCTTATCTCCATGCTTCCTCGATTTGACCTGTATAATAACTCTTTCACCTCTGGTATCCTGCACAGTAACCCCCCCCTCATCTCCATCCTCCCACTGTATGTGACCTGTACATTAACACCTTCACCTCCTCTCCCTCTGCATGTGACATGCAACTCCCTCAATGTCAGCATGTTTTTCAATTTTTCCAAACAATTGTGAAAAAATAAACTGGATCACACTTTACAAAAAGGGGTCATTTTGGGGGGAGTACAGTACATGCAACATAGGTTAATTCATGCATTTTAAATGCTTGCCATCTGTTTTGTTTATTACAACGGCCATACCGTGGACTCTTTACAGTTGGTGGCTGTTTTTAAATATCCTTTCCTGCCCAGGAAACGTGAGCATTGTTTACATCCATCATCGGCTGTTACATGCAAGAGATCAAGCGGCTATAGAACCACCTGATCGTACAGAGATCAGGGAAGATCAGCACACTTCCACCGGCTGATTTAAGACTCCTCTAGACTCCTGAAGTCTTCATAAAGAGGACCTGTCAATGTATTTGAGATATTACATAGGGGGCTTGTTAGTAGTTAAGTGCAAAAAAGAATGTTTAAAACACACCCACCCACACCCGTCGGATGTGCCCACGTGTGAAAACAACGATTGTGTCACACATGTTGCATATTATCGTGAACGTTGGAGTGCAAGCAATAATTCTAGGGCTAGCAATCACTGTTGCCTCTATTTACCTGACGTGACCCCATCTTTTATATTTTACCAAAAAAATTGGGTAATAATAAATGTTTCATAACATAATGGAAAACCATTATTTTGGGGAAACAAAGAGGTCTATCTATTTCAGTACGGCATTGCATGACGGAATAAATGCCAGTCAAAGTACCTCAGCACTAATTACTGATAAATGGCTTGGACAGGAAGGGGGTTTAACACCCCGGTCTTCAAGTGGTTAAAGGAAGCCTGAACCACGGGAACACACAAGTTGCCATTGCTGACTTCTGCTTCTAAAGATGCTAGACATCTGGCCTTCATGATGATTCAGTGGCTTCAGGTGTTTGTTTTTTTTTGTTTTGTTTTTCTTTCTCTAACTTGGAATAGTTATGCACTTAAGTAGGTATGGCATGGTTCTGATTTTATCTGTTGCATGCTTGTCAGTGGCTCAAAGTATTAAAATCAGAGAGAGCCAAATAAGTAGCATGTTCTGCAGGAGGACATAAATGGACAACCTACACTTTTCTGTCAGTAAAGTGCACATTAAAGTGCTGTTGGTGCAAACCTGCCTTAGAACCGCAATTGTATGTAAGGGATGGAAGTTGGAGAGAACACTCGTCCTTTTAGAAGTAAACATATTCCAGCAGAAGAAATTGATTCTTTTCTTTTTTCTTTGAGAATAGGACATGATCCTGATTAGTAGGTGAGGTTTTGAAAGGTCTGATACCTCGAGGGTCCTGAGCTGACTTAACAATGTGTAACGTTTTTGTTTTTTGTCCAGGATATGAACTGTCTCCCAGTGCAGCTGCCAACTTCACACGCAGAAACTTGGCTGACTACCTTAGGAGCAGGGTGAGTTCACTATGGTTTGTAACTTTTTATATGTTCCCTAAAGACATTAATGCTCCTGCAACCTGATTATGTCACCAAATTTTCATTTTACGGTCGAACACAGTTTTGAGCTTGCCATATTCGGTAACTGTTCACTTGACGCAACCTCATCTTTCATTTTATAATAAATTTGGGGATTATTTGGTGTTTGTGTGCACCGAAATTGAGTTAAGTGTATTTTTTACTGAAAATATATCTTTAATAAATAGTTGCACAAATATGGTAAGAAATAAAAAAATGTCCTACCATTTTTTTAATTCTACAAGGTCTCTCCTTTCAGGGAATATTTAATGTTTTGGACGGTTTAAAGCAATTTTCTAGCAAAAACGTGCATATAATGTAAAAAGTGAAGTGAAAAAGAGAAGTTCACTGTTAGGGTTCACATACACTCATAAAATACCTGCTTTCAGTG